TTTCTTTCTCCATGTAGAAAATCTGGACAGCAATATGCTTGACGTGCGCAACCCAGTACCAGAAGAAAAGCGACGTTCCCAGACCCCCACCAACGCTAACAATGCCTGGCAGAACTGCCGCAGGCTGATCTATGTCCACAGGTCCGCACAAAAAGGATATATGATTGGTCATTGGCCCATTCCAGAGAACTTTTGGCCGGACCTGAACAGTCCCACCTTGGTAAGTGTAATCAGTTGAAATCTGACAGGCATTCAAAAGATCCTTGAAAGTTTGGTTATTTCTAGCTTATTAGTCCACTTTTTCAGCAAAAAAAAAATGGCACTGGTTTTGTAATGCACTCAAAATTGATACTGAAGATGTTTTTTCAAACACCAGCTAAATTCTTGCTGAACACTGAAATAAAGGAAACCTTTTAACAGGAGCTGCATCCACTCAGCATTAGTTTGAAGAAACTATGAAAAATGTTGACTATTCCCAAATATAAGTTTTTAAAAATTTTTTTGTTTCAGACCCCACGGTCAGCCCACCCTAATGTGAAGTTTTCCTGTACCCCCTGTGATCCTATGGCTGTCGAGAATTTCCCCTTTGATAAATACGAGTTGGAACCGTCCCCTCTGACACAGTACATCCTGGAGAGGAGACAGCCAAATGCTTGCTGGCAGGTAAAATATGAATGATATATTAATGTTTAAAAAATAAAAATGTGAATAATTATAATTTATAATAAATCAGTCATTATAAACTACACACATAGTGTTGTTAAATGATCTGTCTGTCATTCCTCTAGTATCATAACAGTTAAAAAAAGGTACTACTAGATGAATTTATTAATGTGTGCCCCACTGAAAATACATACTAAAATCTGTCACCAGCACAAAAAAGATTTAATTTGTTTTTATATAGTTGTTATTCCATTATGTTTCAATGCCCTCATTTCTCCTGTAGTTAAATGTAGATTTACTTACTTTTGTCTCTTTTTGTCTGAATAAATCATTGAAAATGACACTTCAATGTCCTTATTGTCCCTGTTATAAATTGCAGGTGTTTGTAAGCAATAGTGCCAAATACAGCGACATTGGTCATCCGTTTGGCTATCTAAAGCCCAGTAGTAATCTCACCATGGTCAATCTGATAGTGATGCCATACAACTACCCAGTGTTGCTGCCTCTACTTGGTAAGTGAGCAGCTGTTGTGTGCTTTCATGCATAATGCATATGTCTGTTAGTGTGAGAGAGAGAGAGAGGTTGATAGTACGAATTATGTTAATTTGTGGAAATGCATGTTTACGCTGCAGTTGATCTAGAAAGGATTCCACAGAATTTTTCTTTCAGTTAAAAAGGGTAATTTAGTGTTTGGTTTAAAAAAATGAAAAGATAACATTTCAAAATCTGTACTTCTTTCTTAACAGTGAATTTTCAGTGTGGTGGAGTAAGTTTTATCAAAGTTGACGGAGAAATTTTAATATTACCTGGTATGCAAGGTTTTAGTATTTTTACATCCTTGTTATGTGATGTTTTCCTGCAGAAGATCTATTCAAAGTCCACAAACTGAAACCTAACCAAAGATGGCGGCAGCAGTTCGACAACTATCTCAAAACCATGCCAGTGTACTATGCAGGGGTAAGTAGTGGCATTTTCAGAGTGTTCGGGAATGTTTACTTCCTACCCTCCCCCCACCCCCACCCCCCTCTTGTCTTTTCAACTGCTGTCCTCTCTTCAGTAAAAGCTGTATCCGAAGTTAAAAAATGGGCAGTCTAAATTTGGGGAAAGATTTAATAACTATGTGATGTCTAGCCAGGAAACAAGAGACATTTTATCTGTAGTAGACTTTCTTGTGCCAAATCCATTATCATTTCTTGCCTTTTCTTGGAACTGTATTGCCGATTGATTAGAATCTCTGTAAATCCAGACAGTCTGGCATTGTGTGGCAACTGAAATGCATTACTAGCTTATGTCATTTATTTTTAGAACTTTGCAAAAACAAAGTGATTTGATTATTATTTTTTTTACAAGGAAACGACTTTCAGATAAGGTCTGTTTATTTTAGAAACTTGTACATTGCCATGAAGTTTTTCAGTTATTTATTTTGACACTACAATAAAATTAGTTGGAAATACCTCAGTTAATCGACAATTTTATATTTTTATTTAAAAGTTTTAGTTGTATGTGGTTAGGGTGTTCAGTAATGTTCAAACTTTATGATAGCAAATTTAAATCAATCAAATATATCCCTTATTCTAGGCTAAACTTTTTTCATCTAAATTAGTAGTTATTTGTCAACACTTGTCTCAAAAAAATAAAAAATGAGATAAAATAGCAGCCCTCATTTGTATATTATAGCCACTGCGGAGAGCTCTTAGTCGTATGGGTGTTCCCAACCTCGTACCAGAGAACATGGAAAACTGTCTTAGCTACAGCGTTATTTCCTACCTCAAGAAACTGAAGAACCAGGCCAAGCAGGATTACGACCGTCTGGTAGCCTCTGTTGGACAGAAAATACCTCTACATGAAGGAATCAAAGTACAGTCAAGGTGAGGGTTGAGCTAAGAAAAATGGTTGCTAATTTTAGAATATTTCATTAGAAGAATGCTTGCAGCCAAAGGTTAAAACTAGATGTAGATTTCATTTTTACTGTTAGATGTTCGGCATTCTGGGTAATTGCCAGTAAATTTTAAAATTTGATTGAGGAAATGATGATAGAAAACGTTAATTAAATTTTCTTTTCAAAAATTGAAATTTGATGGAAATTATTTCATCAAGTATTTCATTGTTCTTTACTATTATTGTCCCAGGTTGAAAGCAAATGCTCAAACTTCTGAATCAATTATTCGCAAATACGCAGGCCAAACTGTTATTCATTATTATTTAGATTCTGCATTTTAATCGGTGGAATGAATTTGTTGTGCCCTGCTCACTAGGTCCCAGACGTCACTTTTAGAGCGGAAGGACCTGCAGCAGTTAATGCAACATTACGGGGGCTCTATCTCAGTGCTGAAGGAACAGCTCAGTGAATACAGTGGCTTCAGTCTGGGTGTTCCTGACAGAGATATTAAACCACAGATGTATAGGTATGCTGGGCTGCCTGCTCTACTTCTTACATAGAATAAAAAATTTGCATTTTCAAAATGTTTTTGAGAAAAAGAGGGTCTTGGAATGAAAGGCAATATATATTTTTTTCAACTGGAAGCTTGACTTTTTCTTTAATTCTATATACTTTAGATTAAACCTATTATATCATGTAAAAATAATAGATAAATGATCAATAAAAAATTAATAGATAAATATGTAAATCAGTATTTAAAAATGGCCACATTTATTAAGTGTCCATTAATTCATCCTCTTATTTATTCTTTTCTCTCATCAAAGTGCATGTCTAATGACCTGTCTCTCTTTCTCACTCTCTCACATCATTAACAGTTTAAGAAAAAAAATTCAACTACAAGTCTGTTTACAGTATTTGCCAATAACCCCAAAGCCACAGCTCTTGTGCCTAAATAGTGACAATGAGCCGTCCATGTTTGGGGAAAGATTGAAACCAGTCTGGGCAGGAAGCAAGACTGTTCTATACTTTGACTTTCTTGTGCCAAAATCCCGGATACAAATTTAGTCAAGAAAATAAAATATCATGTATGCATGAGAAAATCTCATAGTAAAGCCTAATTTTGCTGTTAATTTATTCATTTGATATTGTCAGTCTGATAATCAATATTAGAGAGCTTTCGCAACTGCACGTTTAGGCGACCAACTACATTTAGCTATCCATAACAGTAAAGTGACCAACGTTTATTTTTTCGTGATTTCGCAGAAAGACCCGGTTAGCCTTTACGGATAGTCGAATTGTATAGTAGGCTGTTACATGTTTCCCGTGCTATAAGTAGAGACGTTAAATGAGGTCATACGCCATTGGACAGGTTAGGTAATTTTTGCTGCACGCGGGTGATGAACGAATAGGCATGATAAACATTACAGGGGTAAACACACACGGTGTAAGTGAAGAACAAAAGACTCGGACGTGGTGTAACTCGCATAACCGCACGTCTCGCATGAATGCGTTATAACCCGTTTATGGACCGTGGTCAAAATAAGATAGACCCCTCGTCAGTGGGGGTTGTGTGACATCCACTCGTGCTACGCACTCGTGTATGCCACATAACCCTCGCTGACTCGGGGTCTATCTATTACTAAAACTACACACGCCTCAGCATGGACCTCCTGCAAATGGCAGTTCAAGGCGATGATGAGGAGTCGATATACGCCCTCCTTCGCGATAGACCACAGAAAAGACTGATAACCTATGACCCTGAATGGCCAAGTTTTAATTTGGGTACCCTTACTAACGATCAATGTTTGAACGACTTTCGCTTTGAAAAGGAAGATATATATCGCTTGGTAACGTTATTAGGACTTCCTGACATGATAGCTGTAAGTAACAGATGCAGGTGCAGCGGACTTGATGCCTTATGTATGGTTTTAAAGAGATTTTCGTACCCAAATCGACTGAGTGATTTGGAAAGATTTTTTGACCTGCATCGACCTTATCCGTGATCATCAATCACACTGTTGGTCCTCTCTATGACAGTCATCATCATCGTTTGGATACACTGGATAATCCGTGGTTGGGTCCTGCACAACTTCAAATTTATGCTGATAAAATACATGAGAAGGGTGCGCCGCTGCAGAACTGCATAGGTTTTGTGGATGGCACGGTTCGTCCTATAAGCAGGCCAACACGCCATCAACGTGTATGTTACAATGGACACAAGCGCATTCACGCATTGAAATTTCAATCAGTGGTGATACCTAGCGGGTTGATTGCGCATCTTTATGGTCCTCTAGAAGGGCGAAGACATGATTGTGCACTGCTTCGTTCGAGTGGACTGATGAAACAAAAGGAAGCTAGAGAGCTTACTGATAGGAATGGTCTACCGTACGCAATTTATGGTGACCCGGCTTACCCCATTAGAAGGTATCTGTTGAGTCCCTTCAGAGGAGCAAATTTGAGTGCCGAAGAAGAAGAATTCAATAGGAGAATGTCATCTGTCCGGGAATGCGTCGAGTGGGAGTTAGGAAACTTATTGCGAAACTTTGCCTTCCTGGACTTTCGAAAGAATTTAAAAGTTCTGTTGTCTCCTGTAGCTAAGTACTACTTGGTAGGTGGTCTTCTGGTTAACTGCCATACCTGTGTGTATGGCAATCAGACCAGTCGGTACTTTCAACTAGATCCTCCCACCTTGGAGAACTATTTAGCATGAACTGTACACGTGTAAATTGTGCGTATGAAAAATTAAAGAGTAAAATCTAAAATTCATACAGCAAGCAAACTTTATTAAAATGAAATCTTGAAGAAAAACAAAGATTTAACAAAGATTCATCCCATGTGTATGTTGTAGGCAGCAAGAGCCTATAGTATGTCAATTCAGTTTTTCTTTTTAACCAAAGACATATATATAACCATCTCCATCATGTGTTTGTCTTTTTCAATTTTATTTTCTCGCTCTTTGTTCTCTAATTCAAAGCGTTCTTTCTCGAAGGCCAATTTAACTTGTCTTTCAGGTAACTACATGACGTATTCTGCTGATGAATCAGTTCGGCGTTTCTTAGTTGGCGGCATGTTGTCGCAATTTTAAGCTAAAAAAAACAGTGTCACCAATTAATGCAGCATCAGTTTTGATATTAATCAATATTTCTCATCCCAAAATTTCAGAGTACAGATTCATTCAAATACACAAAACAGGACGCCGTGTGACTTTCGAAAGAAGGCTTCATAAAATTTGCATTAAAAGTCTAGGAGATATGTCTCCTGTCAACTATGGAGAAAATCGAGCTACTAGTAGTGTCTTACTAAACGGCACTTACCTGACGGATATCCTGCTTGTTACGCGTCAAGTGCAGACGGCTAGTCTATAGACCACTTATAAAGGCATGTGTACTCGTAAAAACTGCTCACAAAATGATGACCTAACAGTCTTATAATACAATCCGTCACGCGTGCGGAAGGTCAGTTCTGACTACCTTGTGGTCAGTGGAAAATGCCTTTTTTACGGGTATATCCTATATTTCAATAGTAACAAAAACATAGACACAAATAACAGAGACAAAATGTTTCACATATGTTGCAAAAATAAAATGTCCAATACGATTTTAGTAGAGAAACGGTCAACTTTGAAAGGCTTGATTTCATGAAATTATGCTGATTTGTCAAACCGTTTTTCATTGACGGGTAGCAATCTAGCTGCGGATAATGTTCTCTCTAACCGTATGTGTACACGTCACTAGACAGCAAATTATGATGACCTAAACGTAGTCGTTCGCCTAAACGTGCAGGTGCGAAAGCTCTCTATTATTAATTCAACACCAGTTGTATGTTTTCAGCCAGAGAATTTGATAAGTTTTTGTACACAGACACAGTATTTATATAAAGTTTACATTTATTAAAAGATTAAATGACATTTCAGGAATCCTTTTGATATACCAAGGACAGATCTTCTCGATCAAATATCCCGGATGCGTGCCAATTATTTACAGCCCTCCCCAACAGGCACCCGCCTCGTGGATGACGGTAAGTACCAACAGCAGAATCGATACTTTGCCCTAAAAAATGTTTTGTTACTTATACTGGTGGTTAGAGATTTTTGATTTTTTTTTATTTTGCTAGGTGCATGAAATGTTCATATTACTTAACATGATCAGTGAATCCCCATCCTTGTAACTCGTGAATGCAGCTTTGTATTCTTCGCCCTTCTTGAAATGAAGTCATTATATTTGGTGATTCCTGATTTTCAGGGTTTTCGCTTTGCTCTATCAGTGAGACATGAATGAAGTTTTATTTACTGTGAATTGAGGATTTTATTTCTCCTGAACTGTGATCACTACACCCCCTCCCCCCCCTCCAGTAGAACCCTGTATTAACAGTATTTGTCAACATCATGTTCTTTTTCCAGATCAAATGCACAGCATACCAGTCCAAGAGATGGGCAACTACCAGGAATATTTGAAGAAGGCCCCGCAGCCGCTGAGAGAGATTGACACACAACCTGTCAGGTTACATATGTTTGGAAATCCCTTCAAAGTTAATAAAGTGAGTACAACTAGGGTTTACTTGTGGATAATTGGCTAACTTAAATGTCACAGCCACTTGGTGTTTGTAAGTGTGGAGAGTTTTCCCTGTGAGTTGTCCAGCCGTCATTTAGATGACCTCTGGCCTATATTTTCAAATACAGCTGGACATGAATTTTTTAGAGGGTGATGATACATTTGTAGTTAGATTACCTGTAAATTGATGGCCAAAATACAGATCAACATTTTGGACTTCCTGTACTCCAGATCCTGGGGAAACTCCTGGTGAAGGATTATGGATAGGGGTAAATACAGAGAGAGGGAGAGGGGTGAATACAGAGAGTGAGAGATTTTAGTACATTATATTATAGCCATTAACTGTAGCACTGCTATAATGTCACTTGGGGTTTGACCATATGTATCTATTCTGTTAGATCTATCCTCTTTTATTTTATTCATTATATATGTTCTTCCCACAGAATATAATGATAGACGAAGCAGATGAGGCAATGCCAGGGCAGCAGAAAATGAAACGTTCCTTAGAATCTCCGCCCAGTTCTCCAGGCCCTAAGAGACGGAAACCTGGTGAGTATCCATACTGGACATGATATCCGTCCTAGATATACCTGTCCTGGACATTATATCTGTCCTGGACATATCCGTCCTAGACGTTATATCTGTTCTGGACATATCCATCCTAGACATTATATTTGTCCAATTACAGCTGCATGAAATTATACATTTTTGTTGCATTACCAAGAAAATAGTAACAGCATTGTTTTATTGATTGAAAAATAAAATTAAGTGAATGTTTGAAAAAGGAATTTATTGATAAAAAGAGCACCAAGGACCTGTAAGGTAGCAGTATATGAGTGGAACAAATGTGTTAAAGAAATAAGAATGAATTTAATCCCTTTTGTTTCTCATGTCTGCAGCAAAACATAGATTATGTTCATCCATTAGATTTCTAAATATTTTTGTGGATAAGATTTATTTGTGTCATTTGTCTTTTATTTTGAAGTAAAGCTAACATTGTGTTGTTTGTCTCTAGGTTAGAGAGTTACGAGTATTATATCACACATTTTCTAACTGCTTGTGTGGCACATACTTTTAAAGTCACCCATGCAGGTCATCTCATCATTTCTGTCAAATTTGATAACACCTGTGTGTATTAAAAGCTTATTGACAAATAAGTGATTAAAATTGTTTTTTGAATGCAGTGCAAACTTTTGTAGGAGAAAGATAATAATTGTAAGATTGCAGCTGTGGTATATTGGGTTAACAGGTGAATAAGGGTGTAGGAAAATGCATTAATATTCACATTTTGCATCTTGAATTTAGCCATATTATTTTGAAAAAAGAGCTGTGTGTAAAGTGAAATTTTTGTACAATATCCAGGTCCTCTCCCCAAAGATATAAAATGGCGTCCAGGGTCCCCCTCCATAGGGCAACAAATGGAAGCCCAGAAATGTGACGATTCTAAAGTCAAAGAACAAGGTAATTGTGACATTTTCACATTCTGAATTCAAGTGGCCTATAATTCTAACTATTTTTAATAAATTTCCTTTTTTTAAGTACGGCAAATTTATGTCTTTTGCAAGCAGGTGTTTTATTGGTTTTTGGAAAGATGCGTATTGTGATTACTGAATCAGTCTGCGCTGTATTCACAGTACATGGAGAAGTCTTCTAAAACTTGGCCGATTTGAAGGCATTCCTAAATATATAAAAGTATGAATTCACAAAATGGTTTTAGATTTTTTCCTGATGTATTTGTCTTTTTTTCAGAAACAAATCACAACAATCTGATTGCCAAGGACAACAACCATGTGATCAAGAATGCCTCTCCTGAACCAATAGAAATGAACAATCACTTTGATGCCTCAGACACAGAATCTGTGAACAGTGACACCAATTCCCTCTCGCCCCCAACCATAGTATTAGATGGTTACACATCGCAGGGAGAAGAGGACAATCTTAGGGGGAGGCTTTCACCCATGTCAAAATTACAGCAACAGAAACAAGAAGCTCAGGCGATAGCGCATAATAAAAAATTACGACGATTGGTCGTTCGGGAAGTGAAACAACCTGGAAAAAGTAAGATTTCAAGTTGGACAATGTATTTGCTTTTGATAATTTTTGCACTAATCAGAAATTAATTGATAACATTTCTTTATAAATAATTTGCTGTTGTCACAGTGAATTGGTTTGTATTATTATGATGGCTACGAGTACGTATTTTGCATTTAACCATAGTGTGATAACAGGAGCCCATGAGGGAATTCTGAAGTTGTTTTAATCCCATTTGAAATAAGTTTTGTTCACCTAAACAGAACTTAAAACTATTTAAATTTTTTTCTGCATTGTTATTCTGATTGCAGCTTATTCACTGCTCATTCACTTGTAATAACTCTTCTTTTCCAGATTATGCCCCATTGTTTCAACATCTCGGCTGTATCCAAGGCAACCTTGACCTCAAACTGACATTTCTTAGAGACGTAATTCATGAAGCCTCGCGCTTCAAAAAACGCGCGCTGATTGAAATGCTTGAACAGTTTGAAGAGACGTTGGTGAAAAAAGAGATGGGAAATAACAACAGACAAAACAACTGCCACAATGTGAAAGTATTACCAGGCTCTAATGACGGGAGGTAGCTGAGGAGGTTGGGGGGGGGGGGGGATTTGGGCAGGGGGGGTCTCTAAGAAACCACTGACAAAGTCAACATCATGCAATGGAGAGTATGACAAAAATTGTCCAGAAAAAAAATTGAGTTTTTATCCACAAGCACTGGATGTACAAGTCAAGTATTTGCTTGCTTAATTAAGTGAGTTGACCAGTGACAGTCTGGGTCAAGGTCCCTGACTTGACCAATCAGTTGTTCCGTTACAAGATCATGTGACACTGAAATTCGAATTCCAGCTGAGAACAATGTGGTAAACATTCCAGAAACAATATCATTTGATATTCAGGATTATTGACTGCTTTGATGTTTGATAAGAAAAAACGAATCCATATTTAACATTTCTGTGTTTGTAATTCAAATATTATAAAGTCAGCTGATGAAGGAAATAGATATAAGTGAATCAATAATTTTTTTTCATAAAATATTTTTGAATAAAGGAAACATTTATAATTGAATAGCCGGTCTTGAAAAAAAATAAAAAGGAAATTCAGTGATATCTGGTGTCAAATCACGCATTTTGCCTTGCAGCACTGGCAAATTTATTTTTAAGAAGATCACTGCATCAGCAGTAAAAATTTTTTGCAGTCGAGATTTATACAAATTATATTATCCCAAAAGATCAAAATGGTGTAAAAAGTGTCATAAGAGCTTTGTCAGTGAGGTTTTAACAATACTATTGTCTGTGATATTTTGATAAGAAAATTTGGGGGGAAACAAGTGATACATTTTTGTTTCATATAAAGATGTATCAGTTATATAAAAATAAACATTTTCTTGAAACTTAGTTGTGTGTTTGGTATTATGAGCTGCTATCTGTCCACAAATTACTAACATAGCATACTCTCTTACTCACTCTAGCTATTTTTCCAGTAAAGATGGTTCAAAATCCAACATTTGTACAGAAAACACACCCATTTTACAGTCTAGCTCTCCAATTTCTGAACATGAAGACTGAAGTAGAGCAATTAGATTAAAAATTTTCCACATACCATGCCAATACCCAATGCCTTTTTCTTATTAGATGAAAAAATATTTATAGATTTCCTCAATTGAAGATTTCCTCACAATCCTAGCTAGTACGTACTTTGAAACTAGTAGAGGCTTGTTGAGGGGTCAAATGCTGCATTTTATAGTACAAATGTCCAACTTGTGATGAATGTTCCTTGGGCTAAAAGAAAAATTGTTATCCATAGAGACATGCTCTATCAATGCATAAATTAGCATAAATTAATTACAATAATCTAAATACATATTTTATGTTGACCTTTAAATTGCAAAAGAAGAATAAAACTTGTTTTTTATCCTCTCCAGAAGAACCACTTATGTTTGTTTTTCCACTGTAGGCCTGCCCCCCCCCCTCCCATAACCATGACAACAGACTAAAGACAAGCAATCCCTTTCATCAAAGCCCAATATATGATATCCATGTGCTAGAATATATAGCATGAGCTTATTATATGACACTTACCCCACAGATCAAGCTTCTATATAGCAGTTTTACAATTTGAAAAATAAATATGGTAAATATTAAAATATTGTAATTATTTCTTTTTTTTCACGTATTTAATTATTCACTGATATCTATGAAATGACCAGGAAAAATCAGCGAAAGAATAAAAAAAAGGTGACAATTAGTTAATGTACTAATATAAGAATTAATTAATGTACTAATATAAATTAATACCATTTTAAGATTTCTACTTTTTTGCCACCTTTTTTTCTTACATGGTATTTTAAATCATAATACCTTCTGAAAAACATTTATAATTAAAATTATCTGTCATTGTCATATCATGCTTTAATTTCTATAAATTGTTATTTATTAATCTAATTATTATTTATAATATCAATTAATCTTTTGTGTACCCAATTTTTTATAGCTCCAAATAAAGAGCTTGTATCATGCTCACTGGCATGTTACACAATATCTAAATATAAAGCCTGTAATACTTTGAACAACTCTATTTAATTATTTACACAAAATGCCAAACAGTCTTATCGATTCGGAGAAATAAACATTGAAAAAGAGGCAGCTGTCAGGAGAGTACGGCCCAGAGTCATGAGACCGGCATGTAGTGTTACAGTTATCTCCACTGGTAAACAAGCGAGATCTGACAGTGCGTTCAAAATAAATCCGACTCATTCTCGACTAACCTTCTGTTCACAAGCACGGATCAGCTGCCCGGCATTGCGAAACTACCTCAACCTATAAAAAACGGTGACACTAATAACCACAGCAGTTAAGAATCGACGCTCCTGACAGTGACAAGAGTCGAATTTAATGAAGATGAAGACCGCCATCGCAGTATTCAGCGTCTTGATCATCGTGGTTCCTGCTATGTCCCAGCCTCCCCAGCCATGCTGTACACCGCCGCAATGGGAAGGAAATGTCGCTCAAAGCCAGGGACAGAACGTCGCAGGTCAAGGGCACAGGGCCGCGGTAGGATAAAGATTATATAAGAAATATTGTTTACAAATATTTTTTTTTCATTAAAATTGACCCGAATATTAACAATCTCACGTTTCCGCTTCGCTAGCAGCCTTTATCATAAAGTTTATGACGATGCCGTTCACTAGCTAAAGCTGGCGTCACAGGAATGGAAGTCGGGGGCCCCATATGATTATGGTGTAGCTGCGGGTACACGATTAGTACAGCTAGGTAATTAGGGTTACACTCCATTTCCATAGATTTTTAGATCGATCTATCCCTGTTGGGAGTCTCACTAGATTACTGTCAGCTTGGCCGGCTTAAGCGTCTGTCCTGCCTACTAAAAGCTGTAAGGGGGTAATTAACTATGGTGCCCGCTCGGCTGACTGCAATTTAGCGTAAACCCCCAGGGAGTTAGGTCGATCTAAAACTTAATCTTTAGATCGATCTAAATCTCTGGGAAAGCACCCTAAGTTGGGGGTAGTATATGGTCAAATGTCACCTGCACCAAGTAG